GCCCATCTTGGGCGTTCGATCAATAAAAAAAAAATAAAAAAAAAAAAAAAAAATTTTTGCACTGGACGCCCAACTCGGGCGCCCAAATGCAGCTTGCACGCCCAACTTGGGCGTGCACTGCATAAATGGGCGCCCAAGTTGGGCTTTTACGCATTTTGGGGGGGTTTTTGGATTGTTTTGGAAAGTTTTGGGGGTTTTAGTGTAATAAAATATTTTTTTGGGGGGTTTTGTTGAAAACCGCAAATAGCAATTTTCAAACCGCAAAAAGCAATTCCCGAATAATATACACTATTTGCTGATTTCCGGCTTCAACGGATAGTTTTAGAGCAAATAGATAATAATAAATGTTTGGGTAAATTCCACTTTCCTCCCTTATACTTTGTTTCGGTGTCACTTTACCCCATCTACTCTTAATTGCATCGATTTGCCCCATTCACTTGAAAATTTGTGTCAATGTGGTCCTCGCTGTTAGTTTTTAGACCTTTAACATTAACACAGTTTGGTCTATGTCTGAAAATTATAAAAAAAAACCACCCCTCCCAATTTAAAAAAAATAAATAAAAACACAATTTATGTAGCAGAGGACCCACCTAGAGAACTCATTTGCCTTTGATATAACCGTTCGAACCATTTTAAATTACCCAATATGCCCTTCGAGATCTTACTCTCATTATTTTCTTCGCTATCTTATTTTCCCGTCTTCTTTCTTCTCCATTCCTTTTTCTCTTCTCTCTTTTTTCACCCAAATTCCTAGTTTCTTTTCTCCCAATATGAAGATGAAGAACCACACATTCTTCAATCGCGAAGACCTAGAAGCTATCAGATCCAGAATGAAGAGCTCCCGATCTCCTACACCCTCATGGTAGCAGCAGCTCCTTCTCGCCATGAGAGTCTCTATTATTGTCAGTGGAAAAGAAGGAGATCAGTCTGCGTGGGGATAGAATGAGACGGTATGGTATGGTGATGAACGGGAGCAAATCAATGATTTTTTGACAAGATTGCGCCCAGAGCCGGTCCTGAGGGGAAGCCAGAGATGCCATCGCTTAGGGCCCCATTTTAATCTGGGCCCCCAAAATAAAATAAAATAAAAAATAAAAGCCTAATATATATAAATAATTATTTTTTTTAATAGAAAAGAATATTGCAAACAAAAATTTATAAGATCGGGGCCTCGATTTTTAATCTCGCCTAAGGCCCTGGGAACCCTAGGGCCGGCTCTGATTGCGCCAAAGACAAAATGGGCGGAACAAGTTGGCAATTTTGGTAACGGGGCTTCAGGGGATCTAAGTTGGATCCATTTTCAAACAATGTATTAGTAGTGGGGCTTGGGGCATGGCGGGTGCTGCTTTTTTGTTCTCCCACTATCAACTTATCCTCCAATTTGTATAAATCAACTACGGTTTTTGTTATATATATGTTTCTTTTTTTTGTAAAAATAGTTGGTTTTCACTATTTTTGTAGTTGTTTTGTTAGTTTTTGCGGTTGGTTGTTATTTTTGGGGTTCTGTTGTTACATCGTGTTGGGTGTCATTGACTGTATTACGATTGTATTTGTTACATTTTGAAATTGATTTCATTATTCAAATACGATTTTAGTAGGCGATTTCATTAATTGACTACGTCTTAGTTGATTAATATACGCCATAGAGAAAAAATTAAAAATGAAATAAAATAAACCCAAATTAATTATTAAAAAACGAAATAGGAATATGTGTAGTGGGAAGAAAATAGTGGAAGAACAATTTTGGAATTAAAAAATAAAGAAGAAAGGAGCATAAGTTTATCTTAAAGAGTGAAAATATAAAGGGTGTTACTATTTGCAGCGGTACTTTTACTGAAATTGGCTTATTTGCAGCGGTAGCTTTTTCATTTTAATTTTTCCAACTTGCAAATTCTCTCTCCTACTCCCAAACACTCTCTAGAAATTTGAATTTCGTAAATTTTTTTCGACATTCAAACCGTACAAACGAGGCTCGATTCCGGTAAGTTTTCGATTTCCTACTACTTTTAATTAGTTTCAATTCCAATTTAGGTAAAAACACGTGTTTAAGAATAGATCTAGCAAATTTCGGAAAAAAAAATAAAAAAAATTGAAGCACCCGTTTTCTGCAGCACGGAGAACTCAAGAACGTTGAAGTTCCCGTGCTCTTCAGAACGGAGAATTCAAGAAATCTTGAGGTCTCCGTTCTGCAGAGCACGGGAAATTCAACGTTCTTGAGTTCTCCGTGCTCCAGAAAACGGGTGCTTCAAGTGGCCGTTCTCCACAAAACGGGAGTTCCAAATTATTTTTGAAATTTAAATTTTTCGAAAAAAAAAAAATTTATTTTTGTGTTTCCCGTGTTCTGGAGAACGGGCGATTGAAATTGTTTGAGTTTCCCGTTCTGCAGAACACGATTCTTCAAGTTCCCGTGTTCTGCAGAACGGGAAATTCAAACTATTTTTTTTTTTTATTTTTTTTTTATTTTTTAATTATTTTATTTAATTTGTTTTTTAATCTTTTACAGATGGCACGTCAGGACAAGGGGAAAGGGCTTATGGGTTCTTCTTCGAGTTCGGATAAAATTCCGAAGATTAAATTTCGGTATGGCGGGCAAGGCGCGACTGAAGCCGAGGCGGAAGCGGAACGCATTCGTATGACTGCATCTCATCGTCGTAGGAGAGTTATGGAGCGCGACACTGGTTTACCGGTCGTGGACGAGATTCCCCACATAGATCAGAGTTCTAGATCTATGGCGGGTAGCATTCGATCTGTAGGGGCAGATTCTGGTATCCCCTACGAGGGACACGAGGAGGAGCATGACCATGTTGAGAGCGATTATGATGATGTTCCCGTCCCGGCCGCGCGCGCACGGAAGTCTCGGTACGAGTTTGACACTTTCAGTGGCCCACTTGAGTTACATGGTCCGGCTCCAGGAGGACCGACTGATTGGAGGATGATTCCTAGTTTTAAGAGTCATATTGCCTACTACATTTGGGCAGGACATGTAAGTTTAAATATATTTATTTTTATATATTTTAAATATATTTATTTTAATATATTTTGTCTGATTAAATTAGAAATTCTACAGGAGCGCAGCGTGGGGCGATGTGAGTCAAGGATTACTGCGCTTAATGCTTTTAGGAAACATGAGTTGAAGCAACTCATGGCTCCTTACGGGCAGGATGAGTTAGAGCTATTGGAGGCATCTGGCCTAGACTCACTCGAGTACTTCTACATTAAAAATGTAGACAAGGGACTCATGGGGGCATTTATAGAGAGGTGGCAGCCGGAAACGAACAGTTTCCACATGCCTTGGGGTGAGATGACGATCACCCTACATGATGTCCATTTGATTTTGGGGTTGCGTGTTGACGGTTTAGCGGTGCACGGTGATTCTGTTGAGGAGAGGCCTATGAGTGAGTTGTTGCTAGCTGAGGTTCTTGATTTGGACATGGTCGAGGCGCATGCCAAGCTCGGTAATAGTGGGATAAAATGGTCGGAGTTTGTGGAGCGTGTGCGTAGTCGGTCCCGAACTTGTCGGCAGAAGGTTGTAGGATATTTGACGTTTTTGATCGGTATGGCTTTGTTCCCCGACCGGAGTGTAGACAGGTTCAAGCCAACGTGGATGAGATATTCTTCCGATCTCGAGCACGTCGGCGAGTATGCTTGGGGTGCAGCTGTCTTGGCTCATTTATACCGACAGTTGGGCTTGGCTAGTAGGGCCCACGTGAAGGGGTTAGCGGGTTGCACGTTACTGCTCCAGGTATTTAAGTTAAATTTTAATATAATATATTATTATAATTAGTATAACGTAGGTAGTATTAATGTAATATAATATATTGTGATTTAAGATAATATTAATCTAATATAGTCTCGTTTATTTGTAGTGCTGGATTTACGAGTACTTTCGCCCTTTCCGAGCACCTATTAATTCGGATTATAGGGAGATGCAGCCTCGTTTCCTGAAATGGAAACCACGCAAGGGTATTTCGGACTTGCTCTCGGTCCGAAGGATGCTTGATGATATGCAGGCCGATCAGGTATGTATTTTAATTGTTGAAGTTATTTATTATTAATTATTATGTAAATGTAATTTTTATTACGTTAATATAATTTTCCAGATTGACTGGATGCCTTACGGGCCGCACGTACATAGACGCGTTCCGCGTACATTATATTATGGGTGCATACAGTTTATGGAGATTGTCGAGCCATATTTACCGGATCGCGTCCTTCGGCAGTTTGGCTTCAGACAGACCGTTCCGCAGTGCTACATCCAGTCCAGAGAGCCGTGCCTACGTGGTCCGCTTGGAGGACAGACGTACCAGGTACGGTATGATCCTCCAGTGCAGGAGTGGATGGACCTGGCTACCAGCTCGATTACGATGGACGGTAGGACATTAGCATGGCCGCCGTCTGAGACTGCCACTCGGTACATGGAGTGGTACGTTCCTCGTACTCATCAGTACGTGATCAACCGGGATCCAGCGCCAGAACGACCAGCGCCAGTCGTACGCCCCCCTCCTATTCAGCCGGACTTTTATGACATTGTGCGTATCATCCATCCGCACATGCACGAGATACCCCAGCATCTACGTGTCCAGTTACAGCCTCGTGTGGAGCCACATGCACGTTTTCTAGGTTTAGCCCCCACTGGAGATTCCGACGACGACGACTTTATGGAGATGCCACCACCGCGTCGGCGACCGGGTGGGACGAGTGGCACTTCGAGGAGGTCTAGGGGTAGACAGTAGACGGCTTTTGTTTGACATTTATTTGTTTTTTCTGACATTTGGGTATGTTTTGTATTTGTTTGACATTTATTTGTTTTTTCTGACATTTGGCTATGTTTTGTATTTGTTTGACATTTATGTTATTTTTGTTTGACTATTTTATTTATGGTATTTCCATCTAAAATAATACAAGGTCCAAACATACAAACTAAAATAAAATAATACAAGGTCCAAATACATACCAACTAAAATAAAATAATACAAGGTCCAAAATACATACCAACTAAAATAAAATAATACAAGGTCCAAATACATACCAACTAAAATAAAATAATACAAGGTCCAAAATACATACCAACTAAAATAAAATAATACAAGGTCCAAATACATACCAACTAAAATAAAATAATACAAGGTCCAAATACATACCAACTAAAATAAAATAATACAAGGTCCAAATACATACCAACTAAAATAAAATAATACAAGGACCTATCCCAACCTAGATAAACGACGCCACATGTATAGGCGTTCTTCGAACATTTCCGACAAGTGGGCAAGATTTGCGGCTCTAACATGTCGCCACTGTGGAGTGATAGGTGGTAGAGGACAATTAACCGGTAACTGGATAAGGACAAAATGGTCTCCTAACAACACCATATGGATCATATGGGATAATTCACCCGGACCAACTAGAGGTAAGTAGGTTATATTTCCGCCAATGGCGTATAAAACCAGAGCCGCATTGTATTTAGTCGCTATCGACATTCCCATATCCGGAAATGACATCCATTTGTCCCGACTGCACGGTCCTTCTTGCCAATCGCATTTTTCTATCCATCGGATGACTTCATCTTGACCATTTTGCGATGCGTACGTACCAAAATGCTCGTACATATCGGCAATCAAATCTCTCCTTACACGACTCCATCTGTTCTGATCTCGGAACACTGCTTCTGCAACACATCTGTACCCACAATTTCCATCTGCTACAACATTAACATACGACACAATAGATCCTGCCACAAAACCTGGGATGTAAGATCTGAAATTGAGCTCATCGCCCGGTTCCTTTCGAGGCATTGGCGTACGATTCTGATTGGCAGTGGATTCATCACTTGATCTACCACTCCCTCGACCCCGCCCCCGTCCACGACCAGAACCGGGATCGGTTACATTCGATGGTGGGGTTCCGGTAGAAGTATTTTTTCGACCCTTAGAACCTGCAGACGATTTACCCTTTTCTTCACCAGTAGACGGCTTCCGCTGGAATGGTGGGAACTCCCAACCGGATTTATCTCTCTTCGTCGGTTTATCCTTTGGCCTTCCTTTCGGTATAACATATGCAGGCTCTGCCAAATGGGTGGTGTCTGGATGAATAGTGCTATTCATGTAATCAGCAGTCATCTTTTGAGTCATATAATCTTTTTCTAACACTTCCGTGGCTAGTCTGATTATTCGGTCTCTCATATTTGTTTCACGATCCATCTGTGCTTCGGGTATTTCTGGTTCTTCAACGTGCATGGTACTCCAAAATGGATGTAGATCCATACATATAAATGTATCACGTTGCTGGATTTTCAACGCAATTCGGCATGCACAAGGAAGTGCATGGGTATCCCACAAAACGTGATCACAAAGAGATGGGTCTTCAAACCCCGGTTTTTTGAGCTCATCATCAAGCAAATTTAATGCTTTATGTGTGACTTTGCATATCAAACCCTGAAATACCGGATACGATGATGAGTGCAATCGGATTAAACTGCATTTTGAAAACTCACCCTTGATCTTGGTTAGTTGATACTCAACCCCGGAGTCGAGCTGATATTGAATGGTGTTCACACCACCGGTAGAAGCATTAATCCAACCCTTCGACGATTTATGAGCACTTTCCACCCTGTTAATAGCCATTAAAATAACAACTAATAAATAAAAACGCCCACAATATAATATAAAATACAAGACGATAATGAAACCCAACATACCTAGATGTCGACGTGTTCCCAAAATGCAAAATCTTATTAGTCCATGCTTTGACGAATTTGTGCTTGTAAATTAGCCAAGTATCGTCAAGGTATGATATCAATTTGGGATAACAACCATAGCGTCTAACCATATCCTCGTAATTATCATTGTAATCTTCTTCTGTTTTTGATTCCACTAATTTTGCCCACTGTATGCGCCGAAATATAAGCCCGTGTTTAGTACTACCAATAAATCTCGATGCATTTTTTTCCACGTTTCTATTGATGTGAAACAAACACAAGAAATGAGCGGAATCTGGAAATATTAGAGGCATTGCTTTGATAAGTCCCAATTCACGATCCGTCAATATCACATTAGGTACCAGCCCCCCTAAAGCACATTTCAAACAACGCAAAGCCCATTCGTATGTGTTTGCATCTTCATGTGACATGAAAGCAACAACAATTGTAAAATTCTTACCAACAGGAGTGATTCCAATTATTTCCAAAAGTGGCATCTCATACCTACGTAAATACATAAATATCAAATGCAATCACCATATGTAAAATAGCACAATAATAAATACTAATTAACAACATACCTATTGGTTTTGTAAGTGCAGTCCATCAATATAACGTGAGAGAATAACCGCAAAAGTTTCAACGAAATAGGAGCAGCGAACATCAAATCAGTAAGTGTATCATCACCTTCATTACTTCGATACCAATATTCATATCCAGAATCTTGAAGGTTCGACATCACGTGTTGTATCACAGTCTTCCCCGCCATATTCTCTTTTTTCATCTTCTCAAGTTGGTTGTAGACATGTTTCACGCTCGTTGATGTCTGTGGATTATCCTTTCTCAATCGATCCATAATTAATGCCGGCTTCACGTGACTCCTTCTAAGTAACTTCACTACCTCGTATTCTTCTGGTGTCAAACGACTATCCGGTCCTTGTCCGGTAGGATACGGTAGTATCGGGTGAGTGTGAATGCCACTTTTTAAATTCATTCGCCATAGTCCATCGTTTGAACTTTTGCTACAGTATATACGAAAAGGACATCCACATTTTTTTGTTCCCACATTCCGTGGTATCGCACCTACGGTTCGTTTTTCACGTCCCTCCCCAGACAAATGACATCTAATTACTACATACACGTTTTTCTTGCTTGAAGTTACTATCAATCGATAACCATGAGTAGCACCCATTTTTTTTGCCCATTCCACTAATTCTTTCCCAGTTTCAAACTCAACACCTACATTGAAATGTTGACTCTGATCCTCAGAAGTTGTTGGTGTGTCTTGAGGAACATCGAAACACATGTTGGGATCCTCGTACTCGTTGTACGCTTTGTCACGGTCAGTTGTAAACTCATCGTCAAAATCACCTTCAGTACCCTATTAAGATATAACAAGTAATAATTAGTATATAAATAACAATATTAAAAAAAAAAAAAAAAAAAAAAAAAAAAAATTTAGGTGTTCCCGTGCCGGAAGGCACGGAGGTTTACTATTCCCGTCCTCTATGGCACGGGAGCACGATATTCCCGTGCTTCACAAGACGGGAGCACGATATTTCCGTGCTCCACAAGACGGGAGCACGATGTTCCCGTGCTCCACAAGACGGGACCTGTATTTTAAATTTTTTTTTTTTTTTTTTTTAAGTGCTCCCGTGCTGTACAGCACGGGAAACCCTAATTTTTGGGATTCCCGTGCTACACAGCACGTTAGACCCGACGAAAAACCAAAAAAATCCGGGAGTTTCTTCGATTTACCTCGTAAAACTCGTCAGGATCGGCCATATTGTTATATGTTGTCGTCGGGCAGTCGATTTATGAAAAAAACACGAAAATCTTAATTCGGGACTTTTGCTAGTTGAGAGCGTTTTGAGAATTTCAAAAAGTTGGAAAAGTTGAAATGAAAAGGTACCGCTGCAAATAAGCCTATTTCAGTAAAAGTCCCGCTACAATTAGCATTTCAGAAATATAAATGGACTCCTCCGTATTATTATAATATTTTGAGCGCGTTTATCTAATAGCCCCTATTTTATTAATGTAGGAACAAGAAGATGACATTTCGTTAGAGACGTAAGAGACGGATTTGATACTTAAATTGTCATTTTTCAACCGAAAAAAGATCCGAAATTAAAATCATTGAAATCAAATATAATTGTAACCTAATTTCGTTCTAAACCAATAAGAAAAATTCGGTACTCAATACTTGTTTGTAATAAAAAAAAAATATTGTTTAAATCGAAAATATTCAGATCGAAATCCTCAAGTAATTTTTTTTTTTTATGCCTTGCTTGTAAATCTTTATCCCACTATCTTAATTCTTAAGAACTCTTGGCTTTGCCACTATTTGTAGATTGTAGTATAGCTCACATTAAAATTAGGCCAAGTATCTTTTATTTTTCAAACAACTCTTATTTCATCCAAATAAATTACACAAGTATGCAATGCAACATATAGGCAAAGCCAATATCTTCGCCATGTTTATTACATTTTGTTGCTTTAACACAAACATGTTTCGCACGTGTTAATGTTTCTCCCAAACAGCATAATCAGTTCCAGAGGCCGAAACCTTAAAATCGGCCGGAATCAAATTCCCAAGATCCGCCTTCGGCCCGATCTTAGTAATCACTTTATTATCAATCTTCGCCACATAGAGATCGGCATCCGCAGCCAAAATCTCCACCTTACTTGTCGCTCCAATTCCATTCCTACCCCTGATTCCAATCAGCTTCGATATCTCGTCCTTTTTACCCCAATCAAACAAGTGATCGTAAAACTGCACACACAAATCAATCAATAGGGTTAAACACAATCAACCAAGAATAAAAAATATCTCATAGGACTAGGGTTGGAAATCGGACGGATTGAATCGGAATAAACACTTTTGAAAAAAATCCATTTTCTTTTCTTGAAGTGTAAACCCAATTCCAATTCCGTTCCAAAATAAAATCATAAAAAATAGGAAATCAGAATTTCGGAAATTGGAATGAAAAAAGTTTGTTCCAAAATCGGAAATTGTTCGGACCGGAATCGGTGGAGTTCGAAAAAACTTCATTTTCTAGTCACCTAAAATGTATTGTAAATAATAATATTGCTATTATAAATGTAATTTTTGAAAATAAACTGGAATTTTCGAAAAAAAATTCAAAAATTGAAATCAGATCGGAAATCGGAATAAAAATCTATAAATTCCAATTCCGATCAAAAAGATTTCAGAAAAATCAGATAGAAATTCAAAATTCAAAATGAAAAATATTGTTCCAATTTCAGATCGGAATAGGCGAAAATAAGAGGAAGGTAATGGAATAGTGATTACCACCGACGGGGTTCCAGGGTGTGTAAGAATATAAGCATATCCTTGCACGACCTTATCCGATGGAAACGGCCACATATTCTGCGTGGACCCCGTGTCGTGATTATCAATGAAGGTAACAGCATTCCCGGGCATGATTCCGATCAATCCAGGTGGATTCCCACCGGAATCCCTCAACCTCCAAAGCTCCCCTTGAACGGCAGCTTGAAGAATTCCCTTCGTAGTGAAATCAAAAGCCGCTACATTCCCACCGGCATCCCCGGCCCACCGGGCCAGCTCATTCCGATGTCGGTCCTGATTGTACGCCGGCTTCCCATTCCCATCGTAATCGATCGAATTCCAAAGCTCGCCGACCGCAAAGTCCGGTCGAGTGTTGTCCATGTAAATCTTGGTGATTCGGGGGGAATATCCCTTTACGAAATCAAATCTCCACCCGTCGAATCCGATCTCTTTCTTTAGCCAGTTGAGCCAATCCGACAGCTCGTTTTGGACCGTCGGATTTAAGTGGTCGATGTCGGGGGCGGCGTCGTATGCCGCCCCGGAATCGGGATTCCCGGTGCCGTCGGAATACTGGGTGTCGTCCTTGCAGATGAATGACGGCCCCCAGTCGAGGCGGGCATCGGGGGTCCCGCCTTCGAAAAGGCAGTATATTCCTCTGCCGTCCTTTCTCTCTGCTGTTCGGTGGTTTATTACAATGTCTGCCACTGCTTTGATTCCTTTGTCGTGCAATGACTGAATTAACGCTTTTAATTCGTTTGAATTTCCGTATTTGGATGCGTCGAGATCGTACAGCCTTCCCGGTAGATAACCTGGAACCATGACATTTAAATTCTCAGTTTGTAACTATTTTTTCGGAAGTTAAAAATGATTTCGGAATCGGCGGAATTTTTGGAAATTGCATTAATTTATAATCTCTTGTTCAAAATTCTGTCATAACGGGATTTTACACTATTTTTCAGAATTTTTCAGCAACATGCAAGAAAATCCAACAAAGAATTCAATAAAATGCAATAAATAAAACCACTTATAAGAAGAACAACAAAATACAACATAAAGTTTCTGAAACCAATTAATCTTTTCTAGGGTTTTAGTTTATTCGGCTCTCGGGTATTCACATTTTTCATATAAAACATAACATACATTATATCATGGAAATACAAAAATATATCATAAAATTATATTATATACTTCGAATAACAATCACTATACTCGGAACTAAAATCAGATCGGGTAATTTTATATACAATTCCATTTCCACTCCAGAAAAAAATCGGAACAATCGAAAAGAAAAATACAATTGCAAATTCGGATATTTTCGGATCGGACACGGCGAAATTCGAATATTCCATTCCGATTCCAAACCCTAATAATACCTAGTATTCACAACTTCCAAGATAGGGGTCACTTTTGCTAGTTTTAAGGATAGAAAAGAAAATGTCACACGAGAAAAGCAACTCCACTTTTGCTCATAATTCTGTAACAAACTTTGTTCAGGTAAATTTATTTTAAGGATTTTATAATTTTAAGACAGAAATGATCGTAATTAATGCTGTAAAAATCAAATAAATATGTTTCTAATTAATTAAAATAAAAAATAAATAAATAAATAAATAAATAAAAAAGAGAGAAGTACAGAACACACACCTTGAGGTGAAACTGAGTGTGAGGGTGGAGGCAGCCAAACATGGGTAAAACCAGCACTTGCTATGTCAGGTACAACATTTTGAAGCGTGTTGTACCACCCTCCTCGCTTATTGCTTGACTCCCAATTGAATCCCTTTAATTTTTTTTTTAATTATTATTACATACCCAAAAAAGAGAACAATAATTATTTAATATTTATTCATCGGAGTTATGGAAATACCTGAAGCAATATGGTTGACCTAGTCAACGCAGGGAAGAAACCAAAAACGATCAAGAAACTAGAAAGACAAGTTATAAGAAATTTAGTCATAGTGTTTTTTTTTTTTTTTTTCTTTACTTAGAATTTGGAAGTTAGGTATATATATATACTGATAAAGGCAAGCTCAATCATATCTCCAGAAATCATTTTGTAATTAATATATAATTATTTTCATTAAATTTATAGCTTGAATCTTTGTAACAGTGATCTGTAACTGCTATAGATTGTAACTACTTTTTTTTTTTTTTTTTTTTCCTCCCTTAAATTTTTGATTTTATATTTTATATTTAAATTTGTAACTGTTAGATTGTATTAGTGACAAGTTTTGGTCGGCAAATTTAACTATTTTTGGATATGTTGGTCAGTTAAAATATCTGTAATGTTGGGCCTGCTCGAGCATCGGCCAACTCGTTTTAGTTAATTTGGATCTTGTTGAGTTCGGGCACGTTATAAATCCCCGTCTCAATTGCGTCTAATATTATCGAAACATATATTAGAATAATTTTACGTTTTTATATTGTAATTTATACTCATCACACTTTATATCACCAAATACATGTTCTTTCTTTCTTTCTTTCTTTTGCTTGTTCCGTTTAAATTGCTTTTTCTAGCAAGTTTGCGCAGTTAATTAAGTGCCACGAATTGGAAGGCATCTTGATTATGGATAGGCATTCAGGTGCAAATACCCGATACGTCTCAAACCGACTCGATTGAGTATGACACGGTCGGGTTAAATACTTAAATTTCATTTTATTTATAAAAAAAAATAAATCAAATTGTGTAATGATATAAATTCGGGTCGGATATATGACCGAACTACCCGAATATGTGACTAGATACCCGTTTTCCTTCTTTTTGTTTTATTTTATTTTTTTAAATATTTGCATTTCTCAAAAATTTACTAGTGCTGGAAAGAGAAACAAGATTTAGGGGAAAAAGAGAACTACGAGTACAAATTTCGTTTATTTTCAAATCAATTTCAATTCCGTCTTAATTCTTCAAATCTATCAATTTTTCGTTCAATTTCGAATACGAATTGGGAATAGGGTACCAAAACCCCGAACCACCATTTTGATATTTATAATTAAAAAATCTCTACACCAACGGAGTTATATCAAATGAATGTTGTAATTTTGATATATCCCGTTGAAGATGTAAAAATACATCCTGGAGAAACGAATACCAAATGCGGGTAACAAATTTAACCATCTAAATATCCATTTGGAAAATGGAATGCGGCAAATTAAATATATAATCACTTCAATTATTTTTAATCGACAACCATTTGATACATATGGTTGGATCAAATAAATTAGGAAGGCATCAAAATGAAATATTAAATGAATATTTTGATAACTCATTTTGATACTTTTGGGCTGGAGTTGCGTATTGTTGATACAACCTTATTATTTGCTACTATAGCAGGTTGAAATCCTAATTACTCACATCTTTGACGGCTTCGGGAAAATGTCGGGAGTAAATTTCTGCGCTGCACTGATACTACCCTTTATCTTCATTGCACCCCTACATTTAACGCATGGAAAAGTTGATTGAGTCCCGTTTTGAATAAAATAAAATAAAATAAATAACCGTATTAACAATAGGGCCACCTCATGAAAGCCATTTGAGGGTTCATCTTCCCAGTTGCAACCTTAACAAAATCATCATCCGTGAACGAGAAAGTTGCGTCTGGCTTCCCATCTTCATATGCCCCTATAATATTAAATTAAATGTTCAACTTTTAATTAAAAAAGATAGTACACTTCAAGTAAATCGATATTCAGGATTTCGGAATCCCGTCCTTACCAATGGATACATACATATAAGAGGCAACTGGAACGAAAATTCCAATTTCCACTGGTTCCGATCCGAAAAGTACCGATTTCGTAACAACTTTTTTCATTCCGACTTCCGAAATTCTGATTTCCGAATTTTTCCAATTTTTTGGATTGGAATTGGAATTATATAAAAGAAACTCGGAATTTTCGATTCCCGATCCGTAGATAGGATTAAATTACCGTACCGAGTAACTCTCCTTCCTAACCTGCCCCCCACCAAAATCAGTGCCTTGTTCTTATTAAACTCGATGCAGGGCAAATTTCAATCAACTAACATCGACAGCAATTAACGCTTCCGGTGCATTTACACTGGAGAATTTCAAATCCGTAACAATAAACCCATCGAGTTTTTAGAAATTGTAATAGATTTCGAATCCTCTCGATTCGGACTCGTTTCAAATATGTTCATGTTAAATTCTTCAAGTTTTTGCTTCGATAATCAATTTTTCAGATAATCTTAATCACTTGATCTTTCAAGCATGTTCGTGTTTAATTCGATACTCCGATTTCAGTTTCCCACACAAACGCAACAAAGACTAGTATTGGAAAATATCGATAACCGAATGAATCATAGCGAAAAATGAGAAGAGTGAAAGAACCCTAACCTTCTTTAACTTCTCCTTTCTTCAAATCTACCACAAATGATTTCTCATTGAACCCAATTTTCTGCCAATTTGGGAAATCAATAACACAAATCAATCAAACCCTATATCCCAATAAATAATTAAAACCTATTACATAAAAAAAAAAAAAAAAATTAAATCAAACCTTGGGTGCAATATTGATCTGATAAACGAGGCCAATTTTCTGGGTAAGCTGTTTTCCGGCATCGGTTGAGAAATGGAGCTTCATCAGCTCCATGAGTGCGTCGGATTTCAGCTCGGTGGCGTTCGCCATGTCTGATTTTTCCGATGAATTCTTCCGGCGCTGGAATTCGCCGACGGCAATTGCAATTTTATGATTAATAAAAAAAGGGACTAAAATTGAAGTGGTAATAAATTTGTTAGAGAGCAATGATGAAGTGAATTTGAAGGTGTGTATTATTGATGGGCATGAAATTGATGTGATTGGTAGTGGCGCGTGGAGGTTAGGTATGGCGGTGGTGGTGGAAGGAGGATTTATTAAACTGTCACCGGTGAGAAGCACGCAACTCAAGGTAAATATGATCGTTAGGTGAAACTTCTGTAAAAAGAAAAAAATCGAATTAAGCAAGCACACTGGAAATATATAATGGTTTTAATTTGATTTTTTTTTTTTTTTTTTTTTTTGGGATTTTGAAATAATATCCTTTTATAATTAATTTCGATTGTTTTGTAACAAAATTATAAATATAATTCGAAAATAAATTTCTCTTTTCGATCCAATTTTAGTTTATGAAAATAATTTCAATTTTTTTTCCCTTTAAATTAAAATCATATTCATAACATCATTCGTATTATCAATTATGTATTTAAGGTGGAAAAGTTGGAATTTCTAGTACTCAGCGTGCTCTGATTGAAAATTTTAGATTTTGTTGTGAAATAATTCCCATTAGCCAATGTATTAAATATTTAATTAGAAACACTAATGGTGTGAATATTATTAATTAATCAATATTAACTAGTCACTAATATTAGATCTAATATATATATTTTATATATGTATATACGATTATGTATATATATGTATATACACATACTATATAATAGAAATGTAATATTATACACAATATAATATAATATACTATGTAAGTGGGAATAATAGAGAGAGTGTGTGAAGAGAGAGAGAGAGTAGAGAGTAATGAGAGAAAAATGCTAGTAATGTTGTATTCATCTCTTGTTCATTTCAATACAAAATACAAGTATTTATAGGCATTTTCACAGCCTTGTCACAAGGACACATGTCACACTATACTAATTCTCTTCATTATGGAGCTACACATGTCCTAACACTTGTTAAAAGACTAAAGACCTATTAGCTAAAGTCCACAATATTATAAGGGTAAAGTTCAAAATACCTACCTGAATTATACCCAACGTATAAAATACCCCCTGAACTTCAAAATGTACCGAAACAACCCCTCTCATTTCTCGGTCAACGTTAAAAAGTGCTAAAAAATGTAACACCGTTAATTCTAGAGTAAAACCGTTAGTTTTGAAGTGGTTTTACATATTTGCCCTTACCATCTTCTTCTTCCTCCTTTCTTCTCCCTCTTTTCTCTTTTTCTTTCTTTTTTTTCCCTCTCTGTTCTTCCGATAAAAGCAATTCCCAGAATTTTATCATAAAAAAATTCATCCTTTTCATCAATCACTTCTCTCTCTCTCTATATGAATCATATGAAATCCTAATTAACTCCAACCATTTTCAGATTTGAATCGTACTTCATCTACCTCACAAATCACAATCGTCTCCACAAACGGGTCAAATTATCATCAAATCCACGGTGGCGCTACCTTTGTTTCACCACCACCACTACCGTCGTGGTCTTTCCACCCCCTGTGTGAACCTCTTTTCTCCACACCAAAATCTCCAAGAAATTCAAGAAGAAACGCAGCCGCCAACCAAACCTCATCCCACAATTCGAAGCCATCCTCCTCAGAGATGCCCATTTCAGATTACTCACCAAAATAAAAGATTTTCTTTCTGTTAAATTTCATCGAAGTAGATTTCGAATTGATGATGGGACGACGTGAATTTTGGTGGACAATAAAATCAGAGATTTTTTTTTTTTTTTTAATTTATTCAGGCGGAGGAAGAGGTGTGGTGGTGGTAGAGGTAATTCATGAATTTTTTTTGGTGTGAAATTGCAATCAAGTCCCAAATTAAAGTTTTAAGAAATTTAATATAATTGCAATTAAGCCTTTATTGTTTTTCCTTTTTGCAGTTTACTCACAAACATATATATTCAATAGAGGGGTAAAATTGTCCAAAAAATAGAACAGCTGGAATAAATGTAATACTTTAAAAAAGTCAACACGCCACATCAGCAAAATGGACGGATTTTTAACTGAGGGGCTGTTTTGGTTCATTTCGAAGTTCAGGGGGGTGTTTTATACGTTGGGTATAGTTCAGGTAGGCAAAATGAAGTTTACCCATATTATAATACTCCCCCTTGGACGTAGCACCATTGTATCGACTGAATTGATGCCTCGTTAAAAACCTTAGTTGGAAAACTAATGGGATGAAAAACCAATCGTAAGGGAAAAAGAGTGCAGTGTACTATTGCTCCCCCTGAAAATGAGCAATATAAGCCCCCAATATGGGCTATCAAACAATTTGTAGGTTGTCTCATTAAAAACCTTGAGCTGGAAAACCCTATGGGAAAAAATCAGTCAAAAGGGAAAAAGAGTACAACACATCATAGCATTATGTGTTCCCCCTGAAACAAATAATATAGGCCTCCGAAATAGGCTATTCACAGATTTATAAGTTGCCTCGTTAAAAACCTTATGTCGTAAAAACCACATGGGAAAAAGACCGAACAAAAGGGAAAAAAGAGTGCAATATATCATTGCTCCATCTTTGCTTTAGGCATTTTAAATTCACAGGAGTTTAAATATCAAGATTCAGTGAACCATGAAGATGACATTAGAATGTCTGTTAGACGTATGTCCATTCCCTCATGGACAACCCTAGGAAACGAAAAATGATTGTATTCATTACGTGTGAACACATGTAATCATAATTAATCCCATATCATCAGGGGAATCCTGAGTAATAAGGCCGACATTGTATCATACAATTTTGTTGATATTATTCATCTAACGAGCAAAATCCCATTTATATCCAGGGAATTTTACATTGTCCGGAGTTTGTACAACTAACGCATATTTATTTCGTTTCTCTAGGAAAGCCAATTCTGATTTAATCGCTTTTTCGCATTTAGGCCAAACTCGGCTCTGTCGACATTCTATTGTTTTGAAGGTGGTTCACTGGCATAATCATCCCAAAAAGATATAATTGCCTTTTTTGAGAGATTAAGCTCTACATAATTATCTGGAGCATGTTTATTATGACCCGTTTATTCAGTGGATTCAATTAATCCATATGAGTGTGAGCGTGTGCTACAAGGCATTGACATTTATCCAAAGTACTGCACAAATCTCATCAAAATTATTTTGATCGAGTTTCTCCGGCACTATCCATTCTTATAAGCACGGGGTATAGTAACTTTTGCAGAAAAACGTGCAAAATAGTATTGCACGTGCATAATAAACACACGCGAGACCATTTATAAGATGCTTCTCACAAAATCATAAATATTTAAAATATTGGTGCACTTGAAAGGTTGTATTGGTCCATAAATATTATCAACCCTTTTGCACCAAAGGTTATACGACGAAACTTCTATAAATTACAGAAATTCTCTTCGGACATAAGGATCCTTATACCGTACGACTGTCCGTAGTATATTCTTTAATTCAAGTCACCGTAATATTTTGTGGGCGTCCCCATATTAATATGCCAAAACCTGAATATTTCAGGATTAACTAGTTTATATGACATGGTGGTGTATGAATTGAAAACTCGAATTGGGACACAATACAATATACAAAAGCTAATGCTTTTAATATCATAAGCAGAAGAATTATTTATTTCCGGAGCCATGATCTCTACGGAAAGTAATAAAATTTTAGTTCGTGCTTTGCACTATATCACACTCAATAAATTTTAGAATTTATCAATTTGTTAATTTGACCAATCTATCATCCGGGGAGATGTTTAAACTCGACTTCGAGAATAGATATATTTCAGGGGAGATATGCAAACTCTACTTCAGGAATGTTTCATCTGAAGCAGAAATTCTAAAATTCGACCTCGTGAATATGTCACTCGAAGGTGATATGTAGCTTATCTTAATCTCGGGAATCAATCCGAGAAAGATATACATGTAGCTCAATTTCGAAGTTCAAAATATAATATATAGACAATAGTCTATTATGTTTGTGTTTCACATGTACATCCATATTAAATAATATGACAATAAAATGTTAACTCAATCTTGGGAATTTAACATCCAAGAGAGATATGTAATCTCAACCTCGAGAATATCTCATTCGAGGGAGTTTTGGGAACTCGATCTCGGGAATTTATCATCCGAGAGAGATATGTACATGTTACACAATTAGTAGACATATCAAATTAACTTTGAAATATTACTAATATCATCAGGGGTGTATAAGCTCGACCTTGGGAATATTTCTTCCAAGGGAGTATTACTAACTTAAACTCGAGAATAAATCGTCCGAGCTAAAGAGTCGTAAATTTTTATTTGGGGAATATATAATTAAGCTCGACCTCAGGAATGTATCATCCGAGGGAGATATTATAAACTCGATCTCGGGCATATGTCGTCCGAGAGAGATATATAAATTTTATCTTAGAAATTAGCTCAATCTCGGGAATAAAATCATCCGAGAGAAGTATTTCAATTTGACGTCATTTATATTTATCTCGAGAAAATATTATAGGCTCAACCTCGGGTATATATCGTCCGAGGGAGGTATGTTCATAAATAAATAAATTCAATCTCGAAAACCGTTACATCGAGAGAGTTATATCGTAATCATTAAAAATATTATCATGCATGATCTCAAATATATAACATTTACTCATAGGACAAAATATATTTTGTAGGCAATAAACTCATGAGTTTTAATTTATTTTGACCAAATGATTATCTCGGCGGGAATATTTGCATCCACTCTTGTTAATTTAAGAACATTTTGACGAGGACTATCTTTCACTTCGTCGTTGTGGGCCTAACCCCATATTTAATTTTATAATGTCCTTTCAATCCAAAAATGTCCATCGTTTATATGGGTCCTGCACCCAAATAGTTTTTATTTTAATAACCTCATTGGCCTTTTTAGGGGAATCACAACCTTTAGTGACTCTACGGGCATCACACCCGGTGTTAGATTTATGACTTCTATATCGGCCATTTCGGGGATTACAACGTCCACCATCTCTACGAACATTATGTTCGGAGTAATTATCATAGCCTTTAAATCGGCCTTTTACGAGGACTACTATGTCCATTAGCTCAACGAGAATCATACCCGGAGTTATTTTTATTTCTATTATCGAAATCAACCCATTTTCTTTTGCTTAATTAAACAAGATAATTAAATAAATATATCGAAACTTGAACATGCCAATTACAAGTTTCAAAATTTAGAAAATCAAAATCATGTAATGCAAGTTGAAAATTCGTAGTCGAGGCGAGAGATAATAACCTCTCTTTCATAAATCAACATGCACATACTTATAGATATATATCCTTCCTTTCCTCCGAAAAATCGGTGGCTTATAAATACCGTAGTATTCGCTTTACCATTTGATATCGAGGATCTGGATTTTATCAAATAAAATAAAATAACATAAACAAACTTACATAACCTACCTTTTTTCGAGCAGAACCTCGTGCTGATAACGTGTTGTGAAATAATTCCCATTAGCTAATGTATTAAATATTTAATTAGAAACACTAATGGTGTGAATATTATTAATTAATCAATATTAACTAGTCACTAATATTAGATCTAATATATATATTTTATATATGTATATACGATTATGTATATATATATATACACATACTATATAATAGAAATGTAATATTATACACAATATAATATAATATACTATGTAAGTGGGAATAATAGAGAGAGTGTGTGAAGAGAGAGAGAGAGTAGAGAGTAATGAGAGAAAAATGCTAGTAATGTTGTATTCATCTCTTATTCATTTCAATACAAAATACAAGTATTTATAGGCACTTTCATAGCCTTGTCACAAGGACACATGTCACACTATACTAATTCTCTTCATTATGGAGCTACACATGTCCTAACACTTGTCAAAAGACTAAAGACCTATTAGCTAAAGTCCACAATATTATAATAGATTTTTGATTGTTCCGATTTTTTCGAACGGAAATGGAAATTTTTATTATTTGTGTTTTTTAAGGAAAACATGAAGTTTAGTTAAGAAAAGTGGAAGATAAACTCCTTTGATACATTTGTCAGCCTTTTGAAGAAATTAATTTAGGGGACAACTAAAACAAATATCATTTATTTCTAACTTTAATGCCACTAACATAAAACATAGAAAATTAATAGGTAATGACGGTAGTACCCTTAATAAAATTAATACCATACAAATTTTTGTGTGTGGTATTATTTTTATTAAAAGTAATAATGACATTACCTATTTATTTTTTATTGTTTATATTGGTGGTAATGAAGTGAGAAAAAATGGTATTTTTTTAGCCGCTTCCATTAATTTAATATCCAATTTTGATTTGAACTTTTTTTTATATAATTTGGTATAAAAAAAATTACAAAAATGAGAAGAAAAAAGAATTGGTCCAAAATGGAAAAATTGGAATCGCTAGCGAGCACCAAATGAATTAGAAAAAAATATTTCTTTCTAAAATACATAACAATATTGGTATATGAAAGTATTGACAAAAAACAGAATTCTTGAAATTATTTTGAAAACTGAGATTATAACTAAATCAAAATAACATAAATGTTACAATTTTGATTAAAAAAAATTGAAACTAAAATTTAATAAATTGTAACGAAAAAACTATTCCGATCTGCATTTGAATAAGTTTTCCATTCTAATTTTCCAAGTTTCGATTTTTTTATTTTTTCTCCGAGTTTTCTTCGAACGAAATCGAAATTAAATTTTCACTTAAAAAAAAAAAAAGAAAAGTTAGAGGCTGTGTTGACATTAATATAAATGGTGGGGGGCTAATTGCAATATACGATTAAAGTCTTGTTCTAAAGCAGCCACTGAAAAGAATACCAGTCTTTCATTTCATTCCTCTTATCCAAAAACATTTTTTGCTGATCGCACGAAACATGTAAGAAAAATCTTTCTCTTAAAACCCTTCTCTCCCAACATTTTTGCAGTTCTATGATTACTTCCTAAGTTAATCCCTCGTTCAATTCTCTGCATTTTTGTGTTTAATTTCTTGATGATATGTTAATTTTCATGGGGTTTAATTTATGTTTATTAATTGATAAAAAATCGTGTCTTTAATTTGGCTGCTGATATGCTGAGTGCTGTGTCAATCTTGTTCATGCTTTCATTTTGTTTCTTTTTTGTTTGTAATTTCATAGAGATGTGTGAATTTGAGTGAATTTCATAGCATCTAAAATATAAGTTAAAGGACTGGATAATTTGGGACTTGGGATTTTATTTTTATTTTTTTTATATATATATTTATAAGAGATCTGTTGGACTTGTTTTTGGATACCCGTTTGAGTCGACGTGGATTTCGGATTCATCGGTGACTAGTTATAGGTCTTGTTTGAATGATTCTGTGTGATTTCGAATAAAGTTAAACCTCAGTCGGGACTAGCAAAATCCTATTAATTTAGCGAGATATTAATTATCGAACTAATAACTTAATGCGTTTTCACCGAGTCGGGACCGGGATAAATTATTATTCAAGTGAAATTATTAATTTATAGAGGTTCTACTGTAACTATGTATCATTTGTAATCCTTAGTACCAAACTCTTCTCTCGAATCTGAATCCTTCGATTCCAAACGTAGAATTCAGGGCTTAAGCATTAAAACGAGAAATAAAAAATAAAACTCGCCAATATATTGAAGTGTGACATCTTTAGGAAGGAACAGGCAGTTGCTTAAGAAAAATCGGGGAGTCCGAAGATGAACTAGCAAAAGGCAATTTTCTCTTGCAAGAAATATCCGCAGTTGATTCTTTTAAAAAACGTTAAATTGTTAATTATCACGATTTCTACTTATGCGCACGCCGTATAAACGAATGAGCTTTTGATTTTCTTTTAACAGATTACTTATTGAAAGCTTGGAATGATTTAAATATCCGAGGTTGCCGTATATACGGATGGCACCTTCAAGCGTTTGTGGTGATAAAAAAAAATTGTGAATCTTGAGATCTACTAAATCTGCATGTACGGTGCAGATTCGTTTTTTTGCTCTACTTTATCATGCAAAAGTCGGGTATGCTTCATCACAAATCCCTCTTCAACTTGGTCAAAAAAATTAATGGGCGAGTCGATTTTGGGAATCCCAAGGTATTCGGCAATATGTTTCTGGATAGAAGTGCCTTAAACGCAGTTCAATTTCAAAAGGGACGTAACGTAGTCACTGTGAAAGAAACTCGTCGAAGAAAATTACCGGTTATCAAGAGTATGCTCTTTGAAAATGGTGAAAAATTAACCGACGACGATGACGAGGATGATGATGATGAGTTGTGCCCTGTTGACTGCGTGAGAGAGTTTCAGACCGACGAGGAATTCGCGGGGATTATGGAGAAGGCCAATGAAGTGAACGCGTTGGTGATTGTCGACTTCTATCGAACTTCTTGCGGGAGCTGCAAATATATTGAACAAGGATTTGCAAAACTGTGCAAAGGGTCCGGAAATCAAGAAGCGCCCGTCGTTTTCCTTAAACACAATGTGAGTGAGTATACATGGAAACGATAATATTACTAATCGTTATTTTATACGGTGAATGTTGATTATGTTAAGTCTTGGTGACCTATACTGCAGGTACTTGATGAGTACGACGAACAGTCCGAGGTTGCCGAACGCCTCCGAATTAAGGTAATGTTCGTTACTCACTTCACTCTATTATCGAGTTCCGAGAGTTTTGAGTTTATAGAACAAGAAATATTATTTTGTGGATAAATTACAACCACCTCTGAGGTATAGTCAATTTAGAAAAAACCCTTCTTGTTTGGATAATTACATCGACCCCTCAACTATGATTTTTTCTTACACCTCCACCTTTGTAGTGTCAAATTCAACATAATCATCTAAATTTCGTGAAATGTTCTCTAGTTTGTACTCAGTTTGTGTAAAAATACTATTTCTGATGCACCACAATCTGATATATAGAAGTCAAAAAACACATATTATGATCATCTTGCTTCAAAATGTGGAGTTCGAATGGGATAAAACGGGTACAAAAGTGATAATATTCCATATAATCTCGAAAATTCCACTAAATTTGAAACCGCAAGAGTGGAAGTGTAAGAAGATTTATAGTTGAGGGGTGGTTGTAATTACCCAAACAGAAGGGATGTTTTCGTAATTTGACCATACCTCAGGGGTGATTGTAATTTACCCTTTTTTCTTCTCCATTTTGAAAGCCTAGTCTGAGTAATGAATCGAATGCATGATCCAACGACTCTAAAAAAAATTCTCGATTTTGAAAGTTTTTACCGAGATTTCTTATCAATACGATACCACTAAAAGCAAAGTGTTGTAATGCAGACTGTTCCGTTATTCCACTTCTACAAAAACGGAGTCCTATTGGAAGCGTTTGCGACCAGAGATAAAGAGCGAATACTTGCATCCATTCTTAAGTACACGGCTTCTGCTTCTCAAGAAGTCAACTCGATCTCGTGATGTTTATACTTTTTTTTTTTTTTTTTACTTTCCACCATTATTGTAGAAATGCCGAGATACTTATATATATGCATATATGATTTGATCTGCGGTTGCATTTGTATTGTAACATAGTACTATTTAAATTTAGCACAAGAGAGATTGTACGGGAGAGCATCTCCAACCATATTGGTTTTGGAGGCTATTTCAATGGTACTCTCGGTGAAGATTACATCAGAATAAACTTATACTATTGATCTACAAACCAATGTGGGTACGTGTGTGTTTGTGTCTTTATGCATGAGAAAGATATACGCGTGTATTTCATCTGGTGTAGCATAGTATAAATCGGTTTTGGAATGCTAAAAGCTAAATTGTATCTAATTTACCATTTCAAACTAGGGATGGGAAAGGGTTTGCCGGGTCTTAAACCCGGAACCAACCCGTGTGGGGCGGGTCTGGGTAAGTTAAATGGTTTTGGGTCGGGTAATGGGTTTAAGTTTTTAAAACGGACGGTTCTAGGTCGGTTTATGGGTCTTATTGGATCCAACCCAGATCCGACCCGTATAAATATATTATATTTAATAGTAGGGGTTATTTTACATACCCCCCTAGCCACCAAATAAACTAGGGATAAACCCAAGCCCAAATCATCCTTTGATATACCCCCTGGAGAAGGGAAAGTACTATACTACCCTTATATGCAATTTTCGGCCAAACTGCATTCAGCATTTCGGGTACTGTATTTATCATTTTCGCTGATTTATTTATTATTATTTTCGTTTTTTTTTTTTTTTTTTATAAATAATAATAAACCTGTTTGTTAAATTTATATATATATATATATATATATATATATATATATATATATATATATATATATATATATATATATTTTTTAATTTTTTAATTTTTTTTTAAAAATAAAAATAAAAATAAAATTTAATTTTTTTAATTTTTAATTTTTTTTTTAATTTTTTTAATTTTCAAAACAATACGTTTGCAGTACTGAAAATAACTACATGTAACTATGGTACCTATAGTAATTCGTAGTTATGTTCGTTTTTTTCCCCATATTTTTAGTCGATCAATTGTATACACACACGAATACTGGCTTATACAAAAGAAATTCATAAACCCCAATAAAAATTTACAAATGTCAATATTTTTATTATAAATCACCTCAGAACCAAAAAAAATAAAAAATTGAAAATACACAAATATATGTATATATAACTACATGTTACTATATATGTATAGTAATGTATAGTAATGTATACAGTTTGTCAAACACTGCTTCACAAGTGGCTTCAACCAAATTTTTGACACCTTCAAGGAGAGGATCAATGGCTTTCATAAGCTGCAATTGCAAAATCAAAACAAAAAAAAATTACTTAGTTGCAAATTAACAAAATTTGATGAAACATCAAAACACTCAAAAATCAACAAATACTAAGAGATCGAGGGATAGAGAGAGAGGTTATTGCTGGGAAATGCTACAAATTTTAAATCAAACATACAGTGAATCCTCACCCCCCCTCGCCTTCTACCAAAACCCTAGGCGCCGCTACTAACCACCCACAGTTTAGCGCACCCACAAATGCAAAAAAATATAGAAATAAATGTGTAAACATAAAAATAAACAAAATTACCATCAAAATATAGATCTCGACGAGAGGAATCCAACGGTGGGTAGCCCGTCGAATTTCGACTGGTGGAACACAAAGAACACCTCCGGCAAGACCACCGTCGTCGAATGAAAAAAAATTACAGAAACAGATCTGTTCTCCAAACTGAATGAAATCACCACCAAAAGAAAGAGCTCGACGAGAGGATTCCAACGGTAGTTAAACCATCGAATTCCGACCACCGGAGAGAGAGTTATGGCTCCGGGAAGCAATTTCACCGGTGGGAGGTTTGTGGAGGCGGGATTTTGAATCTGGGAGAAGAAGAGAGACCGAAATGTGATTGTCTAGGGTTTAAAACTGATTTTAAAAGGGTATTATAGGTACTTCAGATGGGCCCAGGGGGGTATGTCAAAATATTTTCGAAATTAGGGGGGTTTCCCTTAGAGTGTAATCCACTTGGTAGTTAGTTCTATATAATTTGGGAATGAGGGGGTGATAAGGAACGTCAAATTGGATTCGTGTTGCAAAATAACTATTTAATTCGGAGAAGAGTTATTAATGGGCATTGGTGGAAATATCGAAAGAAATTATGGGAAAATAAGGGTTTTCGACGAACTTAAATCGTAGTTGAGTATGAAACGAACTCTATCTCAAGTAAAACGGCGTAAGGAACAAAACTCATGAGCAAAGCTCATGAATCACGTCAAATTTCAGCAATCCAAGGTCGTTTAGACTCCCAAAAGTTCGTTTTTGCTATTTTAGGTAAGTTTTAGAAAATTAATATCAAATCATAGAAAAATCGGATTAGGATTCCGTAAATTGGGTTGTTCCCAAAATTACGAGATCTACTAGAATCAGACTCTAACTCGTTTTTGCCGTTTTTGGTAATTTTTAGTATTTTCTTATTTTAATTAGGGTTTTCAGTTTTTAGTATAAATAGCTGCCTTAGGACTTTATTTTGAGAGAAGAATTTCGAATTTTAATAAAATATTTAGAGTTTTCTCTATTTTTCTGGTGGATTCCAGAGTTTTCGGTGGATTCCGAATGTTATTTTGTTCTATAGGATTAATTCGTAGAAATTAATTCTTTACCGTGCTTCCGTCCTGCGTCAGGGGGTCTACAAAATAATCCCTTAATAGTAATTGGTATATACAAATTAATTTAGGATTTCATTTATCAAACTAACAACTTTCATCGTGTCTATTCTCATTTGCCAAATTTTCACGGTTTCATTTCTTTGAATCTTGTTTTTCGTAAGTAATATCTATCAAACTTGTCGACGACCATTCACCGTCTTGCCTGTTAATTTTTTTTTTATCGTAGAAGTTAAATATAATTAATTACATAATTTTATTATTCATTTTATATCACTTGTATAAGTTTTTAAAAATATTGTATTTTAATTTTGAGATTGTTTTGTTAAAACATACAAGTAAAATATTATGAAAGTTAAAAAATAATTTTTTTTTTTATGTTAACGGGTCTAGCGGGTCTGGTGGGTCAAAACCGTTTATTTCGGGTATGGGTTGGGGTGGGTATAGGTCTAAAACAGATTGGGTGGGTCTACGTTGTATATATTTTTTGCGGGTCACGTCTCGAGTTAAGGTAAACCCAACCCCTATAACCGACCCGTTGATATCCTTATTTCAAACAAAAAAAAAAAATTGCTCCAAGCTAAAATTACAACGACAATTACTATATATAACATCTACTATTGACAATTGGTAAAAGGAAATATACTAAACTAATAGTTCAATAGTGATAGAAAGGAATAAATTAGATGATAAATAATTCAAATATAATACTATAATAGAATTGTAAAATTTAGATGACATGGTTCGACAAATTAGCATATGCTGAGGGTAAATTACAACAAATCCCCTGAGGTAACGTCAAGAGGTAAAAAAAACCCTCCGTAATTACATCTGCCCCCCTAAATTATATACCCGATTACATACATAGTCAAAGTTAAAAGAATATTTTCGATTCCCTGGATTTTTCATTTTTGAGGCTGTTTATAATTTTTTGGCAAAAGACAAATAGGTTCATGACAATGGTATTTAATTAAAAGAGGAACATCCAATTTTTTTGTCTATTAAATAAATTCGGCCTATTTAAACTTATTTGCAAATAAGGAAAATCCTTTTATATATACCAAAATTAGCCCCGATTTATTGAAACTCAATTCAACTCCAATTTCATGATTTACACCACAATTTAGCACAATTTCATCAATTAACCAATTTTAACCCTAATTTCAATTTTGACCCGCCACCATCGGAGACCGCCGGTCTCCGGCGTTGATTTTTATTTTTTTTTTGAAACTTTTTTTTCCGGTAGGTCAACCGCCGTTGACTGCCGGGTCTCTGGCATTGATTTTATTTTTTTAATTTTATTTATTTTTTTTATTTTTTTTTTATTTTTTTTTTATTTTTTTTTTATTTTTTTTTTATTTTTTTTATTTTGTTTTTTCTTAAAAAAATATTTTAATTAAGGGGCTCTTTGAGAAAACTCCCTCACTACTTTTTTTAATTGAGGGAGGCCCAAAATATTTTAGTCCATTTGAGAAAAGTCCACACCCATTTTCAGCCATTATGTTTTCCAGCTTTACCCCGCCCGCCACCTCATCACTGGGCCAGAGCTCCGCGATTTTTTTTTTCCGTTTTTTTATTCGACTATGAAGCATAGTCGATTAGTCTTAAATCGACTATGCTTCATAGTCGATTAAGGAAAATCTTTAATTTTTTAATTTTTTTTTTGTTTCTAATTTTGTTTTTATATGTTTTTTGGTTTTTTTTAATTTTTTTCTCTATCAGGTTTATTAATGCATAGTCGATTAAAATTTTAACTATTAAAAATAACAAATCACAATTACAAAAAAAAATGCAAAATCAACTATATTTAAAAAAAAATATACAAACATTGTAATTGATTTATACATTGGAATCAATAAACAAAAAATCAAAAAATAAAATAAAAATTAACAACTGGAGTCTGTTAACCTTAATCGACTACTGAACATAGTCGATTAAGCCCTAATCGACTAGTGAACATAGTCGATTAAACACACGTAGTCGATTAAGGGCTCTGCCTGCGCGAATTTCTTTTTCTGCGCCGTCTTCCGCCACAATCCACCAAAAAACCCTAGATCTGCTCTTCATCGTCACCACGTCGTCGCCACACCACACCATCACCACCCCACTTCCATATTCTAAGTAGTACAGAGTAGATAATATACATATTTAACACAGAAGAAATTAAATCGATGCATTTTGTAATGTTTAGAGAACACAATCAACAATCAACAATCAACATTAATATATTACCTGGTGTGTATTGTGTAGTAGAGTAAGGGGAGTTAGGCAATATTCTGGTGGAACGACGAAGGGACGGTGGTGGTCGATGCGGCGGCGGCGGTGGACGGCGGCGGAGAAGCATTGGCAGTGGTGAAAGGTGTGAATTTGGGAAAGAAAAATTAGGGTTTCAAAATAGTATATTGACAATTAAGGGTAAATTTGGAATTATAAAAGTAATATTTGGTGGAATACTAACCAAGGGGGTTTTCTCAAATTATTTTTGGAAGGGGGGGTTTTCTTAACTACATTTCCTAGATGAGGGGGGTCTTGCTAATAATCCC